TATTTAAACATTAATAATTCTTAATATGTACATGTCTCTCAAGTACCACAAGCACTGATGGTATATCTTTAGGAAAAGACCACAACTCAGATCCAGTAAACTAACAAGTAGCATTTGACATATATACACTACCAAATGGAAAATAGATAGCTAGTGGGAAACAGCGGCTTGGTGCTTTGTGACCACCTAGAGGGATGGGATAGGGAGGGTGGGAGGGAGACGCAAGAGGGAGGGGATATGAGAATATATGTATACATATAGCAGAAACTAACACAACAATGTAAAGCAATTATACTCCAATAAAGATGTTAAAAAAAAGATATAAATCTACTCCAGAGCTTAAAAATACTACTAGCCAGCTGCCTGTATCATTCCAGCAATCAACTCCTTTGTTTCTTAATAAACATTCCATTTCTTAAAGCTCTCAAAACCGCCTACCAGCACCTTCTTCTCTGGACCACCATGCAGCATACAGATGAAAATCCTAGGCCACATATCAACATATGAATAGTCATATCTCAAGTATGCAGTAAATCTGAAGTATACAGACTTACTTAATTCACCAAAAATATATATTTTTATTTTTACAGGTAGGTTCTTTCTTCTGACCTACAAGCTTTATTCTTCAAACCAGAAACCCCAAATCCTGAGAGCTCTCAATATTAACAGTTGTACTACAGTGGATGCTGCTTTGGCAGTTCATTTTAGCAATTCCTCATCACATCTCAGGAATTTTCTTTCCATTGAAGTTCTCCCTGCTCCCCCTCCCTTCAAAATGATTTAGTAATTACCAAAAAAGGATGAAAGGCCAAGCCAGAGCGATCAAACGCTATTAAGTTTCATTGCATGTGTGTGTGTGCACAGACAAGGTTCTTCTCACTTTTACAAACATCCCCAAAACAGTGCAAGCCAAAACGCACATCTGTTGGAAAAAGTGATGGAAAGGGTCATTGGAAATACAGTAGAAATAGCATTTCTCTGTACTAAAGTAATGCTCACACTGAATTGGGGTACTCTGTTCCCAATGCCTAGTTCTACACCGACAAAGTGGATATTTGGAACAATTATCTAGATAAAGCAAGCCAAAGAATCTAAAATACACACAGGTTTGAGGCAAAGCCACAGGGTTCGGGGTTGGAGGGAGGTGAGAAGTAGGTGTGAAGAGTATTTTAAATGATCCAAACAATTACATCCACTTACGTTGGCTATGTCTATACATGCTATCTATTAACACTGTTTTGAAAATGTGATTACCAAAATAACATGATCAGTTTTTCTTGTGTACTTTTAAACAAGAAAGAATGTCTGCCTAACTTCAAGTACTTTTCACCTGATGGTTGAACAAACCAAGGTCTGGGCCACTTAAACTGTTAGTTAAAACACCACTTGAGTCTTACCCACAAGGCAATATGAACATCATATGGTTATTTATATTATCTGGCTAAGGTATCGACTCATATTTTTCAGTGAAGTCCCCAATGAAATTTGCAGAGGAGGTTTTACACTGCCATAATAACTATAAAGTTCTTATTGAAAAAGTATTTGTTCATTATTTAAGTCATTCAAAACGTAGAGGCTGTAGGGTTTGTGTGTGTGTGTGTGTGTGTGTGTGTGTGTGTCTTTAATCAAATTGCAGACAGATGTTTAGATGTTTTGGACTTAGCTGAAATTTCCTAAATCAGGTCAGAGTGGAATGAAAAATTACTATGAGAGGCAGAAAGAACCAGAAAATTTCAAGTATTTCCATATAAGTGGACAGAAGTATAACCTGGAGATTTATATGCCTATAAAATTTGGCATCTTCCAAAAATGATGATTTTGAATCATTCCTTTTTCTTTGTACTTCACTGGATTTAAAGCTAGAAGTGGAGGACATACTTCAACAATGGCCATTTCTGAATATGATTCAGACATTTTCTTTGTATTCAATAATATTTTTACCCTTACTAATGATCAGGGAGGCTTTAATGTAATTATGATGGAATCAAACAAATAAAATAGGTGGCCAGAAATGATAAGAAATTCACCTGTAATGGAGGTGAACCCTGGTATAGATACTTAGACAAAAAGTAAATGATTCTTGTACCATTTATAATTGTATTTGACTTTGGAACACATTTTTAACTTTACGTATAAATATGTCAGTCTGAAATTTGTGGAGTTCGTGGCATTTTGGGCAAATGAACAAAAAGGTATCTATAGTGGCCAATCCATTTCCACATCTCCTATGTATAACATAATATGTGTGCTTAATAATAAATGCCTTGTTTCCATAATCTAGAAGATTTGGGTTTATTGACTGGTTCTGTGACCTTGAGCAAGTCATTATCCTTCTCTGGACCTCCTTTTTTTTTTTTTTTGTATTTGTAAAATAAGACGATAGAATTGAGTAGATCCTCACTAAGTTTCTCTTTTAGCTCTTTTATGTTTATAAATTTACTCTCAAGTTGGCTTATACCTTCTCTGGGGTCAGAGAACATACTTAAACATTTGATTTGAAATATCTTTATTGATAGTAGCTGATCCAGAGGTTAGAGAGGTGAACACAAATCTCCTTCCCTTCCTACTTTCTACTAGAGTTAGAGTTGATAAAAATGTTGGTGTCACCATCACGGAAGTTAGGACAATAGGTGATTAGCTTTAACAGCTAACTGGCTTCAATCCCCAACATAGCTAGGCCTCAGCACAGCTAGTGAAATCTTAAGCCCGAGTCATAAAGACAGTAACCCTGAGAAGATCTGAAAAGGAATGTACTGCCCATGAAATATGACACTGGTTTCTTTCAGTAGTAGAGATTGGCTATTATGATTTACACATATTCTCTCTTTAGAACATAACTGAGAGAAGAGTGTATTTTGGACCATGGCTCTATCTCTGGCTACCCTTGTTTTCCAACAAATCGATAAAGTAACTGCCGGAACAATGAAACCTAGGTCATCACAAGTACATGCATTTGTGAGAAAGACATACTTTCTTTTTTTTTGATGATATAGGGCCATATATTGGTTTCTGGTGCCATCAGTATGAGTTAGGGATGTAGCCCAGGTGCTATTTATCATTCAAAGTGAATTTGACAGTTGAGAAAGTTGACTCTGTAACTTTAGAAACCTTCCTTCTGGAAAGTAACCTGTTACTGATGTCAGGGCCACTTATGATAGTCCCACTTAGAGAAGCAGGAGAGAAGTTGGATTTGAGTAAATGATCACGTTAGGCATGATCGAGGAATTATTTTGTGATAATGTCTTACCAAATGGACCTGATGCAGCTTGTTCTCTTGATCACTTTTTCTTGGATCTGAGCTTTGTTCTTCAACACCTCCTCTTGTTTCCCCATCATCCCTAGTTTGTGTCTTTTTCATGTAGAATATTTTGTTAGTCACCAAAGTTAGGGCTAGAATGGGAATCAATTCAAATAACAGAAACTACACTGTCAAAAACTATTTTGGAAGCGTATTTGCATTGTTTGAGAAAGCTTCATTTCACTTAATTTTGCCAGAAAGTATATACATGAATTTAGATGGTTTCCTATTACTGTTGACATTTATTGAATACAAGAACAGGGTGACAACTAATTAAGTTTCTTACTTTTTTGAGCTACCCATTAATTTAATCACCATGACCCAGACCTTGGGCTATTTCGGGTCATGTGTTATTGTGTAAGTTGGGGATACCTTTGTGCTAACATTGGGAAGAACCGCCCTTGTTTAGCAGGTAATCAGTTGATGGTTACTGGATCTAACATGGTGACCATATGCATTATGGGCTTCATTTTTTAACATTTACCTATGTGTTCTGATGAGGTGCTCCTAAGCTGTGGAAAATAATTTGTTTTGATGTATAATGCAATTTTCTTTGAAGACAGTAGAATTTGGATCATGTCTATAGTTCCATGAATTCACTAGGGTTGTTATGTTGTATATCTAACATGAGTTTACACACGCACTTCCACTGCCCCCACTGAACATTAAAACTGCAACTTGAATCAAGTTATCTAGACCTAAAATTGTTTTTTTGTTGTTGTTGTTGTTTTATCAGAAAGCAATTAATTAAAATGAAGGTGCTGTTTTCAGATTCTGACACCTCAACAAGATGTCATTTTTCTGTTAAAAAAATATTTTCAAATCCAGGCTTTTATCTTAGAAATGCTTTTGATAGCAGTGATGATTAAAACTATCAACAGTAGATAGGACCCTATAAATATACCAGCTAATTATTTTTTCTTGCCAATGTATGAGATGTAGTGACTGTTGATTAGAGTACAGTAGAAGTTTTTAAAAAACAGTACACATCCTAAATACTAATCTTGATACTATCAAATTTTAAAATGTAGTAAGCTAACTGAAACACACAAACACAGGAAAGGAATTCACTAACTTATTAGATATGACATATACTATGGGGTAAATATTCATTGGCATACATTAGGAAACTCACAAATCTTTAAGAAACAAATTCAACAGCCCCCATGATAAGGAGAAGTTGTAGTATTTAAAAGCAAAAACAACACGAAGTCCAGTTATACCTAGAAACCACAAGCTGACAGTTCTTTGGAGTCTATTCAGTTTCCCTTTGATGCTGTTCATTGAACCAGAATGGGCAGCATGGAGCACTGAAGGGCAACAAAGATAGGCAAGTTAGTTTGCCTTATCTGATAGCTGGTGGGGACTGCTGAGCACAGCCCTCAGCCCTGTGGGGAAATGGTGTGAGATCCCGAGGAAGGTCAGGAATCTGTGCGGCAGCGACAGTAGCAAAGTGGCACCTGGAGCTTCAAGGAAGCAAGGGTAAGAAAAGCAAAGCCAAAGGGTTAAGCACCCGACTGCACCTCTGCTGATTAGGGGCAAACACCCCTTCAGTTGGTTTTGAAATGGACTTAGTGTTTGTAGGTATAAAAAGCAAATAATAGTAATAATAATAACAAGAACAAAAAATGAAGAATGTGGCTATAAAAGATGGTGAAAACAAGAGGAGTTTCACTCTCCTGTCTAGTGGGGGGCAGTGAGGGAATCATATTCTATGTCACCTCTGAGAGGAAAGAAATCAGAAATTTTCTGAGTTCCAGAACAGGTGATACCGGCTTGACTTAGAGCCGAGTTGTAACTTGTTCTTCCTGTCCGTCACCCCATTTGTGCATGAGCAGGTCACAAGCCTCTCCCCAAGTTTCAAATACATCCTCTGAGGAGTCTAAAAGTTTAGAATTTGAGGAGCAGATGCTGGATGCGCAGTGAAGAGAGCTGGAACAGGCTAGAGGGCATTCACTGCTCTGAGCGGGGCCCCGGGCTTCACCTAATTCTACCTCACTGAGGTTAATTTCACTTTGAGAACAGGACTCTGCTTTCCCTTTCTCCATCTGAGAATATTTGATGTCCTGCCACATATAGTGCGGCTGAACGATTCCATCAGAAATTGTGTACATCGGCTCTGAACTGGGTTCAGACATATGACCATTAAACTTGGAGAATAGGAGACCCAGTTTCTTGAGAGAGGGACCCATGAAGGAGCGTTTGCTTGATGACTCAGCTTTTGACTTCCCTTGGGCACCACCAACTCTTGGCATGGTCCTGATGAGAGGTGGCCCATGGCAGGCTTTTTTCTTGCAGCCTAAATTGAAAGAGACACTCTTGGATTTGGCCCGAGCCCCGCCACTGCCATCATTGGTATCATCTCTCTGAGAGAGTTCGGTGCTGCTAGTGGAAAAACTTCTCCTTTGGTGCTTCCTATTTCCTAAGAGGTCAAGCACTTCATATCGAAAGCTGGAAATGTCCTGCTTTAATTCCTAGGGCAAGAGAGAAGACACGTTATGTTAAGAAGCTTGGTCTTTAGTTCAAAATAGGCACATTGGGCATCCTTCGGAATGTTCCAGGTTTTGCCTCACTGCAAATCACAAGGTACATGAGCTACCAGAAGAATCTCACATTATTCAAGCACAAGAAGAACATATTAACAATGCTGTGGGCAGAGCGGGCCATTGGGAAAAAAATGTGCAGTTGGTAAAGTTGATTTCAGAACCTATCAGGAGCACGCCAACAGACTGAAATGGTAACCAACAATGAGGGTATTAGAGCAGGGCTCTCATTGGAATCTAAATGGGAGGGAGGGAGACGCAAGAGGGAAGAGATATGGGAACATATGTATATGTATAACTGATTCACTTTGTTATAAAGCAGAAACTAACACGCCATTGTAAAGCAATTATACTCCAATAAAGATGTAAAAAAAAAAAGTACTACTGAAGAGGAAAAAGCTTTTAGGACTCTCAGGAATAAAACTAGGGAAGTGGAATGTCAGGAGATGAGACTGCTGTTTTGGGCCAGGGGACCTTGTTTATTCAAGTGCCTGTGAAATGTCTTCTATCTCTAACTGGCTGCCTAGATACTAGATCACGCTTTTAAAAACCATCTTTGAAAAGTTTATATCTGATCATGTCGTCCTCTTGCTTAACACTTTTTAGTAACTTGTCGCTGACCTTAGGAAAAAGGAAAAATGCCATACCACAGACTACAAGGTTTTTCAAGGTCTGGTACATGTCTATCTCTCCCATTTCATTCCTTCCTGCTCTTTCCCCAGGCTTTTTACTGTCCACCTGTATGGACACATTCTCTCTTGCCTCTGGGCCTTTGCACGTGCTGTTTTCTCTGTCTGGAACACTCTTCTCCCCAACTGTTTTATCTGGCTCTTCCTTCAAACCTCAGCTTAAACATGGCTTCCTCTGGAAAGCCTGCCTCGAATCCCCAAGTCCCAGTTGGGTGTCCCCCCATTTCTATGTCTCTACAGCACCCTGTGTTGATCCTGTTAGAATACTCAGTCATTCGCCTCTATTATTATTGTGTGTGACTCCACGAGAGAGTAGGGGCTGGTTATATCTTGCTCATGACTGTGCCCCAGCACCTAGCAGAGTGTTTGGCATATAGCAGGCCCTCAATTGATGAGTTATGTCTATGGATTAGGATAACAGCCTTCTTATGTTCCTTAGAAAACATATATGTGTTCTAGGATAGGGTTTCTCAACCAATTGACATGTTGAGTGTGGTAATTCTTCGCTGTAGGGAGCTGTCCTGTGCATTGTAGGATTTTTAGCAACAACCCTGGTCTCTACTCACTAGATGCCAATAGCATCCCAATGTGACAGCCAAAAATGTGTAATGGTAGGGTTTCATAAATGTTAGATTTAATAATAGAATTTTTGTCTTTATCTTATTTAAAGAAGGCCTTTAAATCTCTAGGCATCTTCCCTTCGCTATCTTTCTTCTCATCACACACCCATGCCATATCATTTAAAGCACTCAATTCCCATACTGAGAAAAACCCAGAATATTAAAAGAATGTATATTTTTATTATTCATAAAGCTGATTGTGGTGTGACAGACATTGGTAAAAATCTATCCATCTACTGGATGACAGACTATTCTAAGAGAGAGAATAAGAATTGTAGCTGGTTTTGCTGTATTACAGGCTGTTGAAATTCCATCACCAGAAACCTCAAACACTGTGAAGATTAAATGATGCTTAAGAAATGTGAATGAAGAATTAAACCACTTTATGATCAAATTACCTTAAAATTTTCTTCTGTGAGTCCCTCATTTGTTTTGGAATTTCTTATCATAGCTGCCACATATCTTTTGACTAAATTCCTGATAACTTCCTGGAATTTAAACAAAAACATGAAGAAGCATTCAGTTTCCTTCTTGGACTCTCAGTAAAATAAGAAACATACCCAGGAAATAAAATACACTTAGACTGTCTTTGCATTGGAAAATCCTCACAGGATCCAGGCATTTTCTACAAAACCCCCCAGTTAAGTCCATTGGATAAATGAAGAATTTATTATGTGTCCAAATTTGGTGGCAGAGTGGGCCAGTGAGATCAAAGTTACCCGAAAGGAAAATTTTCCACCCAAGCATAAGGTAAACAGGGATACACATTCATGGAATAATGAGAGCAGAATAATACTTGAATGGTCACGTCAATATCCTTTCCCTCCAGGCTAGATTAAACTTGAACCTTCCTAGTAAGATGAGAGTTTTTCTTCCTTTTATAAAGTTGAGAAAGTCAGTCTTCAGTGTCACAGAGTCTGATGATTTCAATGTCCACTAATTACATAATCAAGATACTTTTTCTTAGAGGCAATCTATACTTCTCCTTTACAGGGGTGGCCTCTTTTAACTTAGCCTCTGGGAATGGTATACACATAGTCACCCTGCTTTGTGTTAGTAATGGTGATGATGATAGCTACCACTTAATGCAATGTGTCAGGCACTGTGCCAGGACACACACACACACACACACACACACACAAACACACAACCATATATACATACTCGCCACTCAGTTCTCACAACTACAGTTTAAGTTTTATCATCCTTATTTTACAGACGAGGAAACTGAGGATCAGTGAGGGTAAGTGATTTGTCCAAGTTCACACAACTGACCAAGAACTATTGTGCTTAGTCCCTATGAAGAAGCTTTACCTGGTAATGTTGATTCTGTATCAGGCTGTCAGCATGGCGTTCCTGTCATTGAAAACGGACAAGAGAGGTTACATCAGCAGTCTCCCAGCAGCCCATCCACTCGAATATATTTCTAAACGTTAGGACTGGAACATGACACAGGAGCTACTGCCTGAAAAACCCCCAAAGCATCTGTAGGTTGGAGTAGTTTTAAGATGTTCAAGATAGGGAATGTTACAAAGGAGGAAAAGGAGAAAACAGTTGTGTTTACAAAGAAACATAATTTTTAAAAGCCTTACTGTGAAGCTTCTCAAGTTGTGCCTTCTCCGTCTACCATCAGGGTCTCTTTGGGGGCAGAAGGTGTTGTTGAACCAGTTACCAAGGTATAGAAATGACTTGGGGCTGGGGATGATGTTGAAAGGAGGTGGCAAGGTGCCGCCTTCATCGAAGTAACTCATCCAGAGCTTCGTCCTTGCAAACTTCCACTCAATATCGGCATGATCCTATGAAAGAGAGAAGTTCAGTGATTTGGGATGGCAAAATGCAAAATGCACCCCTGACTCATTCTCAAAGTTCTACTTGCTTCTACAGAGGGCAATCTGTCAGTAGCTATAAAAATTCAAATTACACTTACCTTACGATGCAGTAATCCTACAATTAGAAATTTATCTTATCCATATACTTGCAAAAAGATGTATGCGCAGGGCTGTCCGCTAGCACTGCAGCTTGTAAGAGCAAAACAACTGGCAACAACCTAAATATCCAACAGTGGGAGACTGCTTAAATAAATGATGTCACATCCACAAAATGACTTATAATCAAACTATTAAAAAATATAGTAGCTCTATCAACATTTTATATGTAGAAACACATATCATATATATGCATTTGTCCATATATTTATAAGACCTCTAAGTGAAAAAAGCAAGATAAAGAGCAATATATATTGTGTAAAATGATACCCTTTATCCAACTGAAAACCCCTTTATATTACATGCTTACATGTTCTAGAGAGGTACACGCTAAATTGTCATTAGTAGTTATTTTTAAGGAGTAGGATTGGTGTGGAGAGACTTTGTTTTTTTTAAAAATCAACATTATTGAGGTATGATTTACACAGAGTAAAATTCATCTATTTTAAGTGTTCAATGAGTTTTGATGAGTGTATATACCCGTGTAAGCACTGTCATAATTAAGATACACACACACACACACACACACACACAGGCATACATTTCTAGGATTTTTAAGACCTGGAAGGACTAATGTAATCACCACCACAATCAGGATACACAACAGTTCCATCAACACCCCAAATTCCATAATGTTGTCCCTTTGTAATCAAACTCTCTCGAACCCCCCCTGGCAACCACTGCTCCATTCTCCATTCCTTTAGTTTACTTTTTCCAAAATGTCATATAAATGGAATCATACAGTAGGTAACCTTCTGGGACTGGCTTATTTCACTCAGCATTAATATCTTCGAGATTCATCTGGTTTTGTAAGTATCGATAATCTATTCCCTTTTATCGCTGAGTAGTTTTTTGTTGTGTGGATGTACCACAGTTTGCTTATTCATTCACCCATTAAAGAACATTTGGGTTGTTTCCAGTTTTTAATAATTGTGAATAAAGCTGCTGTGAACATTCATGTACAGGTCTTTCTGTGAACATAAGTTTAATTCCCCTGGCTTAAATATCTAGGAGTGATATTGCTGGATCATGAAGTAAGTGTACATTTAACTTTATAATAAACTGCCAAACTCTTTTCCAGAGTGGCTATACCATCTTTCATTCTCACCACTTGCTCTGTATCCTTCTTAGCATTTGTCAAGTTTTTTAAAGTTTAACTATTCTAACAGATTAAGTAGTGGTATCTCATTATGATTTTAATTTGCATTTCCCAAATTAGAATGAAGTTGAGCATCTTTTCATATGCTTATGTGCTATATAGATATCCTCTGTGGTGAGGTGTCTGTTCAGATCCTTTGCCCATTTTTATTGGGTACTTTGCTTGCTTACAGGTGGACTTAGATAGTTTTAAAATATATTCTGGATACTAGCTCTTTGTCAGGAATGTAAATTGCAAATGTGTTCTCTCAGTTTGCGTGTTATCTTTTCATTTACTTAATGGTGTCTTTCATAGAGCAAAGTGTCTTAATTTCAATGAAGTCAAATTTATCAAATTTTTAATGGATTATGCTTTTGGTATTATGTCTAAGAACTCTTTACCTAACCCGAGGTCATGAAGATTTCTCTTATGTTTTCCTCTTCAAGTTTTATAGTTGTAAGATTTGCATTTAGCTCTATGATCAACTTTGAGCTCATTTTTGCTTAAGGAGTGAAGTTTACATGGAGGATTTTTTGTTTGTTTGTTTGTTTGTTTTGCCTGTGGGTATCTATTTGCCATTTGCTGAAAAGGCTATTGTTCTTCCACTGAGTTGCTTTTGCACCTTTGGCAATCAGTTGGGCTTGCTGGGACTACTGTCCATCCACATTCAAAAGAATGAAGTTGGACTCCTACCTCATACCACATACAAAATTCAACTCAGAATGAATCACAGAACTAAATTTAATAGATAAAAACTATAAAACTTTAAGAAGAAAATTTAGGAGTAAATCCTCATGACCTTGGGTAAAACAATGGTTTCTTAGAGATGACACCAAAAGCCAAGGAACAA